AAACTTTTTAAACTGTAATTCTTTCATTTATTTATGAAATTATAGTCGTTTGAATTTTTTTGGCGAGTGCTCGAACTTCGAGGCCTGGCCCCGCCCCTTCAGTATTTACGAAAAGTCAATTTTATTTTCTCATTTCAACTGTCCATCCCTTCTGATCGATAGCACGCTATTTTTGAGACAATCGTGCGAAAAATGACCAAACAGTTCAACCAAATACAGACCCTACAAATGACCAAAACAAGGTCAAAATTCCTAATTTAGCCCAAAATGGCAGACTTCCTGTTTGATATTGACCATGGGTGCAAGAGGCTTTTCTTTGCATATTGTTAAGTTCTACAAGTGTACCAAATTTCATCACTCTACTATAAAAAAGGTCAAAGCGGAGGGGTATTTTTAATTGTCAAGGGGGCGCTGTCGAGCCACTTTTTTAGCAACCTTCACATCGCCATTGAAATACGTAAATTTCACACACTTTCTATATTGGGCCAGAATTTGGTGAGTTTTTGGATATGGTAAGACCCCCAAAAAGCCATTTGAAGGTGCGGAAGAAAAAAATAAACAGCACAGACAAAATAGGCCTTGGCAGCTTCGCTGCTTGGGCCTAATTAAAATGTATCGAATTAAATTGATGCTAATAAAAGTTGCTACTTGTTTAAAAGGAAAAAGTCCCTTTATGTTCTTGAAAATCAACAAAATGAAAAAAATAACCCATAGATGATGGAAATACTGGAAGGAAACATCTCAAATAGGTGTAAACTATTTCAACATCAAACACTTGTGCAGCTAAATTAAACACACACTTACACACACCAAATACTGTTTTCTCATCAGCATGAGAGAGGGCAGCAGGCAGAGCGCCAGGTGCCTCTCATGTTTGGGAGAGCAAACAAACTCGAGTCTTTGATGGTGGGGAGATCAGAGCAGGGGACACATTCTACGTGGCCACGCTAAGGTCGCCACAGTGCAGCCCGGCTGCCGTGTTATGCCCTGCAGCTAGGAGACCCAGAGCATAAACAACGCCAGAGCAACAGATGTAAGTGAATGCGTGTGTGTGTATGTGAGAGAAACTAATCCAACTCACTGCAAACCCGCTTCAGAATCCCTCTGGCCTTCACACACAGTTATGAGCCTAAACTTGTAATTAAGTGTGAGACGCTTTCCTTCGGTTTCAGTCTGTTTAGATTCTGGTTTTGTGAGCTGACCCAGGTTTATTTCAAAGAACTGTGATTAACAGCATCTTCTTTTAATTCCCAACTGACTTGACATGATTCTGAAAGTACGAGCTTACAGGTGGAAGATCAGCTGTTGCCAGTGAGAATTAGTCCTTAGCGGTATTACCTTCAGCGATTGTGAGACATGTTAAATTGTTCCTCGGCAATTGTGTAATACTGAACCAATCACCAACCCAAAGTTCTGATTCTGATCGCCAACCATGCTGAATATTGGTAGTTACCAATCGATGTGTGTGGGGGGTTCATTATTATCATATTTTATTGTTGGTCATCTTCCTGACTCGGCTGATCTTAATAATATTTTGGAATTCTGTCTTTTGTTCGTATTTAATAAAAAAAAAAAATTTCATGCCGCTGCAGCCGACTTGACTACAAAGACCAGCTTTCACTCATGCGTTGATCAAGGTCTCATAAATATAGCTGAGAGCCCTTTGGATTAAAACTTGAGAGAAGTTACGCTCTCTAGATGTACCCTGATCCAGTGTTAATTTTGAGAAGGAATTATTTTTTAGTTTTTCTTTGAACTAAAATTATTTAAAATTTTATTTACAATTTACTCGTCCAATTTGTTTAAATTTTAGCCTCACTTTAGTCAACAAAAATATACTAAAGGAAATGTTAACTTCACCTATCTGAAACTGTAAACAAATGTGAAAAATACACATTTCACACCTTGGCTCAATAAAGCTCTAATTGTTTTAATAACAAAAATTAATAAAAAATACCCAAATAAACTGTTTGAAATTGTGTCTCTTAAATTAAAGTAAACAAATCTGTAAAACGTGCAGTAATATTTGTAAACATAACAGAAAATGACATACCATCAAAATAAAAGTGCTACTATAATAATGCAAGGGGGAAACTTGTTTTCATGTGTATTTACCGTAAATCCTCTAATATTAGCCTGTATTTAATTAACTGCCGGGTGTCATATTTTGGCCGGTGTCGGCGGAGGTGAATAATGGCTGGTTTTTTAATGTGGCCGGGTGAAATGTGGTAACAAGCAAGTACCTCGGGGGGGTGGGGGGGGGGGGGGGGGGGGGGGCATCCGTCTCACTTTTGATTTGTCAGTGATAGACCACGAGGGTAACTTTAACCACGCGGAGACGAAGAGGAGGCGAAAATTTGATATCAAGTTCAAAGAGAACGTGCTGATTATGCTGCAGAACACTCTGGGGAGCAGTAGCAGGGGTTGTATGAACTAGTCACTAGTCGACTTCACCGCTCTATAGTGACTTTTTATGCCTGTCATCGACTAGTCGCTGTCACGTGATAATGACCGGCAAGATGCAGTCCACGGAAAAGACAGCAGCCTGCTGTCAGCAGGTGACAAGCTCCTGCGCGTCGGGAAGCAACGCGCTGTGCCTGAGCTGTCGGTACTGACACCCGCCGTAAAACGGACATTTTACCAAATTGTGACTTTACCCTCTTGCAATTTAACCTTCCCCTCACCCCCATCCTAACCTTAACCAGCGTGCACATGCAAAGCTCTGATTGTTGACGCGCTCCAGACATCTGCGTCCTGAGCACAGCCACAGTAACATTATCAAATCAGGTGTCGCCACCTCAAAAACTAATTTAACACGCGATCGTTCATGTCAGCTCATTTCCTTTTATACTTTCTGTCTTTTATTCTTTTATTTGTGCCTGATGCGTTTCGCTGCTGTGGATCGGGGCGCATCACCTGTTTTGTCCTCGGTGAAGCACCACTGATATGGCCGGCGAGCAGCTCGCACTCCGCTGTTTTTGCGGTCGGTAGATCTTTTAGAACTGCAGTTCAAAGGTAACTCATAAGGTGAATATATTTGAACCCAGGTAGCAGTTTTTCTTTAAGATTGAGAGGAGATGCAGGAAGATAATAAACAGGCAGGACAGAAAAATAGTCAAATAAAAACAAGTTAGTTTTTGTACCTGGTGGTTGCAACAAACAAACACCATTGAAGGTAATCAGAAGTGAGGAACAGAAAATGAAATAATTATTTTAATGTTTAGTGCAGCAGGAACCCAGAGAGGCTGCAGGCGCATCAGTGAGTTTGCGGCCGCTGCGCAGGGGGAGGGGGGCGAGGGCTGAAGCAGAAACTACCGTTGTTAAAAGAAATGTGTTTAACTTTGAAAATGTGGGCACAATTTTAATTGTCAAAAACTCCAGCGAACCATTAGTTCATTTTGCTCAAATAGAAATTGAGGCCTGCCTCTAATTCTGGTCCTCCTTCCAATAAAGGCCTGGAGCTTGATGAGCTTGAGTCAAATACAGGCCTGGGCCTATATTAGAGGATTTACTGTATTTGAGTTTTTCTCAGACTAATTTACCGAAGTGGGCTGGCTGAATGTTTTTCCTCACAGAAACACTGCTAGAACAACAAACGCTGATAATATTGTCCGTAGCAGCGTCATGAAGTCAGATAAACAACCAGATGCGCGGCTGCATGTGTACAGTTCAGCAGCAAATAACCCAATCCCCTCTGCCCCGCCCCCACCAACGCTTGCTGTTACCACTGTAACGCTAACCAGGGTAGGCCCACATGTGTAGTCACCAATGCTAACCCTCGCAGTCATAGACATTTTCTCCTTTTAGACATAAACTGTTTGACTGTTACCAGCAGCTGGTTCAAGCAGCGGCCGGCTCCGGACTCTGATCGGTTATTCTCTCGTCTAGTCCCGCCTGTTCCATTAGTTTATTTATTTTAAATATTTTTTGTCTGTTCCTCCCATCGTTCACATTTTCTGATTGGATTTTTGTCACGGGCAACTTTTGTTGTCTTTTACTCGATGAAAAAATTGATCAATATTCGACATAATTCCATTTTTATAAAAGGGAACTTTTTTAGTTTTAGCTTCGTGTCTTGTCCGCTAAAATTCATCTGTCATGAAGTTAAAAAAAATACATTTAGTCAATTAAATGAACACTGGCCTGATCCTAACTATCCAAATCACAACTCGTGTGTTGCCTTAAAAATGACTCAGTTTAAGCACAGATATCATCATTAAAGCACATTTATTTGTTTGTGTATCTTATGAGTTTGCTGCAGACGACAGAAACTAAAAGCCTTTTTACTTTCTGGCAATTTTGGCGGAATAATTATATTTGACATGAAATGAGTAACTTTGGTAATTCTGGTTTCATCCTGTTTTTGCTGCGTAGAAGAAACAGGTGTATGAAGCATCTGGCTTCTCTGACACATGAAACCCTGCAGTATTGTGAACCCCTCCTCAAAACAATAGAACACGGTTGTTTTCCAGTGAAGTCCTTCCACTGCCTGCATGAAAGGTTTTTGTTCAGCCTAAATGTGAGTTCAACGTAGCGTCGTAGAAAATCTGTGTTCATGCATTTACGTGTGCCGGCTTCCTGTGGGCTGCTAAAGTGCGTCTGTGTGTGACAATGGCAGAGGGTGGGGGTGTCTGGTTTCCTGTGGTGGTGTGTGTGTGGGGGGGGTGACATTATGCAAATGAGCTGATGATTTTACATGGGTGAAAGAGTGGTTATAGGGAGGGTCACGCCCATGTGCACAGAGAAAAGTTTGGCGTGTGACAGGCCGAGCGAGGTCAGGTCTTAATTTACCTCCACTGACAGCTGCTCACCACAGCTACACCTCCTCATAATGAAGGAGCACTGCAGCCAGGCTCACCCCCTACAGCAGCAGTCGCAGCAGCAGAGGGCTCCAGCAGGACCTGTGGGTGGATGCTGCCTGGAAGCCGCTGGGCAGCGCTCCAGCTCCATGTGCACGGGCTCTTCTGACGGTGTATCTCTGTGTGTCGGGTGTCTGACAGATGAGGCGTACCAGAAGCTGGCTATGGAGACGATGGAAGAGCTGGACTGGTGTCTGGACCAGCTGGAGACCATCCAGACCTACCGGTCCGTCAGCGACATGGCCTCTAACAAGGTAGGAGAGGCCAAGAGGCCATGTTTATCTCAGTCTTTCCTATTCTACCTTTTAGACTGGAGTGGAGGTTTTTGGAGGGCTGCTTGCATAAAGGCTTCATTTGAAAACAAACACAGAAACTCTAAAAGAAAGCAGCTCTAATCTTTGAGTGAGTGTTAAATCTGAGCAAGGATTGATGGTGCAAAGAGCATTGATCCTTTAGCATGTCAAACATAGACATAAAACCCAAAGATACTGTAGCTGGCCTGACCACGCAAGGTCAGCAGCTTTCTGTCATGTCTGAACTCGTGCAGCACACAGAGAAGGAGAGTTCTGATTGGTCAGAGGCAGCTCCTGAGATCACCAGCTGGTTTTTAAGGCTGTGGAAGCTGATAATGTCTCAAATTAACCATATTTTGTTACATTTTCCTGTTTTTGTCATAGATTATGTCATGGTTTCACTCTCCGCTGGTTTCTTTGCATTATTCATCCTTTGATGATTAACATCTTAACCTTTTTCCAAACATATTTCATTTTTTTAATTTGATATTTATTAAATAACTCTTATTGCTAGACTGATCAATGCTGTAGGTGTAACATTCAAGAGCTGCACCATCCTTAATCATTACAGGATATTTTTAGTGTAGAACAATTACAATCACCAGTACTTAAAAAGCCACACGAGGACAGCTGAACTCTTATGATTAGATAATCTAATCAGAGGTTTGTGAGGATAATTTTACCCATCTTGTAAAGATATTTCTTCAAATTTGATTTAAAAGATTAAGGTTTCTCTGATTTTTAGCTCAGTAATTAATATTTTTTGTAAAAAAGCAAAAACAGTTGCCAGGAAATGACTGATTTTTTATTCTTTTCTTTGCATTAACTAATGAAAAAAAATCTGGAAGAGAACGACTTAGACACCAGTTATTTGTTTAGTGCTACATCATTAGAATCATCTCTATTGTAATCTGTAAAATGTCAAAGCAAACATTTTATTCCTTCTACCCCTTTAAGTGTTTATAATACCAAGAGAGGTTAGTGGTGCTTTCTCCGAGGTCTCTTTTGGTTAAAATGCAGATGTTTGTTTATTAAGATGGTGGACGGCTAATGGTTTTTGGCCTTCTGTGCTGCAGCAGGCCACTGGGGAGGAAACCAGCATGCACGTTCTGCTGGGAAGTTGCAGGCTGACATGTAAAATGTCTTTAAAAACATAAAAAAAGAAGTTTGGTTTCCTTTTTAATCACATTTAGGATAATTGTAACCTACATGCTGGAGAATCGACACCAACGTGTTGCATTTATTCTGCAACAGAGTGGGAACGGCTGTGTTCCACATGTTATTGGTTTTGTTCTCCTTGGACTGAAAGCTGTTGTTTTCCTCCAGCTATTTGTGTGTTTTTCTTGTTGAAGTCAAAGGACAGAAGTGTGTTGGCTGAGTAGGAACGGTGTGTAATAGAGACCAAAGCGTGTGTGTCACGTGAGCTGAGAGGAAAAACTTGTTTTTCCTCCTAAAACTGGACAACAGGATGTGGGAGATCCCACGGTGGGTCAAACACAATAAACATGGGAGAAAGAGAGAGAGGAGATGAGAGTGTGCGTATGTGTGTGTGCTGGGAGTGTGTGAAGGATTTTTGTAGACCGCTGGACGAGGTGACTCTCTTCCTGTCTCCTTCCTCATCTCCTCTCTCTCTCCAGACAACAATGGACATCCCATCATACTCATTTGGATGGTTAATGATCATGTTTGTTTATTCTATTGCTGTCGTCATCTGCACACATCCAACTCTGACTGTTCTCACTTCAGACACGATAAGAGAATGCTTACTTTGTGTTTGTAGCCGATTTGTTCATTCAGCTGCTTCCCAATAGTTTTAATTTGTTTTCTAAAGTGATTTTAGTCTTTTCTGAGATTTTAGCATTTTTCAATCAGAGAAACTTTTAAACTTTGGCAAAACTGATCCAAATGACATCTAATGGAGATTTGTTCCACAAGTTTTATTAACTTGAGAAATCCCCAAAGAATCAAAAAATGGCAATGATGGAGGAATCCCCAAAGGGTTCAAATGAAGGCAACTGGACGCATTTGAACCCTTTGGATTGGCATGACCTGGATGACTGAGAACTTTCATCAGCATAATGGAGGAAAATCCTTTTTATTTCTTCTCCAGAAAAAAATTTCCTTTGGTTTGTTTTGGACTGGGCTGTGATTGTTGTCACCAAGATCCACGAGGGAGTTTCCAAGAAGAGTGGAATTGTTCGCAAATGTTCTCAGTTTCCTTGGTTGAGCTGAAGAGACTTGCTCTTGTTTAACTCATTCACTGCCATTGACGACTTAAGTCGTCTCTTTAAATCCAACCGTTCACTGCCAATGCATTTGTATTTTTTTACTGTGTGGTCATTGGAACGAGCCCCCGCACCGTGAGAACAAACATCTCAGCTCTAAAGCCGATATTCTTCTGCATATGTCACACGTCACGTGATCAGGAAGCTGAAAATCCATGTGTTAGGAGATCTTTTGGGCTGCTGCTGCAAAAAAAGTGAAGCGCGAACCGGAAAAGCTTCTGCCGATCACATTTCAACAACGTATTATGAAAGAACGGATAAAGCTCGAAACGCGCGGATTCTTCCAGATGTAAGAGGTGAGTCTTCTCTTTGTTTCGGTTGCCTTGGTGTCGACATCATCCTAGCGCGCAACGTTCTGTGACACTTAAAAAAACAGTAAAAACGGTGAAAAACGCTGGCAGCGAAGGGCTTTACTGATCAGGAAACGGCTGGCAGCGAATGAGTTAACAAGAATTTTGAACATGTTTAGATAAATCCACGAGACAAATTTGCTCTATAAATTGTTCTTGGGCACAGTGTTGTTTTCACTGACGAAACGATGACGAATTAATTTCGTTGATGCCCCTTTTTTCATAACGAAAACGAGATGCTGACGAGCTAAAAATAGCTCTTTGGTGACTAAAACATGACGAGACGAACGGGAGTTTTCGTTAACGAGCCAAGACTAGACAAAAAAATGCTCAAAATACACATTTCTGCCTGTCTCTCAAAAGTTAAAAGTAACAAGGCTGCTGCTGCTGTCTGTCCCAGCTGAAGCGTATTCTGCTCACAGAACATCCTCAGCAAGTAGTGAAGCTGGCTCCCCACCCTCATCAGAAGCACTAACCACTCTATTTGCATGGATTTTTGGGATTGGAAGCCAACTTCACTTAGCACTTCCCTGCCGCGCGAATGCGTACCACTCAGCCACTCATCGATGCTACTATGAGCGACAACGTTGTTACATTTAAACATTCTCGTAATATTAACACGTTTATTATCTGTGTGCTTCCTGAAAAAGTCATGCTTTTGGGCAGACAAATGAAAGAAATGACGGTTTTTAACAGGTTTGATCTGAACACGTTTGAGACGAATGTTTGAAGTCATTGTGTCAGGATTATTGTCTCTGCATAACGGGTCAGATTCCTGCATTTTAACCCAACAGCATCACAGTTTAAGCCCATCTAAATGTTTGAGCATCACTGCTAATGCTCAAGAGCAGATCTGGGTTATTTATAATTATGTAGGCTCGCGAAAACTCACAACACTGTCGTTCTATGGAAAGACATTACTGCATTTAAGTAGGTGGACATTTGCCACAATGTACATTTAAAGACACTAAGATGAAGGCCTGATAACTCAAATAATAAATTAAACAAACACAATTCTTTATTTCTGTATAAATATTGTGTAGAATACTCTGTATGCTCCCTAAGAGTCCATTCTATTAAGGAAAGAAAATCATAAATTTCTTTAGTGGAAATCTACAGAATGATGATAATGAATTGATTAAATTGCAACAAGAAAACTTGCACAACTTAATGCTGGACTTTAACCATTTCAAGAGAAAAAAATGTGTCAGAAACACCAATTCAGGGTGAGTGAAACTTAACATTTGCATATTTTTCACAAGTTTGTCTCCAATCGCAGATTTTTAGGCTAGAGCTACAAACATAATCAGAGCTTAACTTGCACCTAAATGTAAAAATATTTCTCATTTGAGATATTTAGTACAATTTTTTTGTTTATTGTTGACAAATGTTGGTTATTTTACATTAAATAAAATGCAGAGTAGGGAACGGGGCATTTGTTGTTGGCAGTGCAGCATAATCAGGTGGTTCACTGGTGAGTTACAAGCCTCTCTTATAGCTGTGACTTTGAAAAGAATGTGAACGTGCCCTTACACGTAATCATCTGTGTGTGAAAGCCCTCCACTCGTGTGTGTGTGTGTGTACTAACAGTTGGTTAATCTTATACGGATCTACGTTATCTCTATTTTTGTTGCTTTTACTGTAAACTACAAACTTACACAACTGTAGCCCCTTTGTTATGTGTACTGCTGCACTCAGCCTGGTTCAGTTAACAAGAATGGGCCAATCAGCGAAGGTGACCCTTGTGCATCTATTGTTTTGAGGATGGAAAACCTGTAACTCAAGCTGCAGCAGGAGTATGAAACATGAGAGTGAGTGAAGTGAAATGCAAGAGGTTACTGCTGCACCTCCAAGGTGAAGCGCAGGGGCCGCTCATGGCGAGGACTGGCAGTACGTGACTGTCCTCTTTGTTATGCGTGGCTGACATACGTGAGCCAAGGTCTGGTGTGTGTTGGAAAACTCTCCTGTTCCAAGGCTGCAGACTCTCTGTTATGTGAAAAAGATAAGAGTCAGGATTAAGTGGAGCATCCAGTTCTTATGGTAGCAAGTGAAGGTCCTTTAAATGTGTAGTTTTTATCATTAATCTCTGGAAATATCAATCAAAATGTAGTTGTAAATTAATTAAATGATGTCCAGTTGTTGAACCATAAAAATCGGGTTTAAAACATATGGGAGCAGGTACGAGTCTCTGGGTGACAACATATTAGCTGCCATGTTTCCGTCTACGGGAGCCCTTGACGGCAAAATGTAATTACTGATTTGTAACAAATGGTTACAAAACTTTCACCATTCATGAATGTTGTTTTGCACATTCACCTCTTCGCTT